TGGGAGCCAGGCCTGGGGTGGGCCCTGAAATGACCCTGAGATACTCCTGCCCACATGCAGAAGGAAGACAAGGCAAGATGCAGGGGGAACAGGGAGGTGGAGAGGTGCCCCTGTAACTACCTGCCGTGGCCCACACACACGTTCAGAAACACTCCTCTGCTGAACATACCAAGTCCCAGCTTCTTCAGGGGCCACTGAGCTGGGAAATACGGAACTCCAGCCTGCTCTGACAATCCTCTGCTCTCATGACGCACTCGGTTCATTGTGATCCCCAACGCACACCCTCCCCGTGAAATCCCGAGTGTCTGCTTCCCAAGGGGCACCCAATCCCCAGAGCCGGGGGACTGGGGAGAAATCCTCAGCCTAAGGAGAGAGGTCTCCTGGACAGCCTTGATGCTGGAACTGCCCAGGACTAGGGCCAGTGGTCCCCACTGGAACAGGAGGCGGGACCACAAAGGGGAAATCTGACCCACACTGGGGTGCAGAGAGGGACTACAAGTCACCCATGGATAGCAGGGGAGCTTCTAGGTAGGTTAGTCAGTCCCCACCTTGGGCAAAGTGTCAAGATTTGGGACTAGTGACACTATTTTGAGAGCCACTATTGATCCCAGCAAAATACTATTATTTGTCTTACAGGTTATTTAAAAAGAATTCCCTTCATCCTCTAACACACTATTTTAATCAGTAACGTGCACAAGATTTTAAGCAAGAATCGTGCCTACCACCCCACCTATGCCAATGGCTGCCGCGAAGTCTCTGGGTCACCGCCACCCTGTCTCTACCCAATGTGGGCACACGCTGTGCCCAGAATCCAGAGGAGCAGCTCCCAGGCTGCCTCCGACAGTCTCATCATCAGCTGTTTCCAAATAGAGTCTAGTTAACACTCTTCGGGACTGAGCCAAAACCTTTCCTGAAAACCCTTGTTCCCCCAATTCAACAGCTGCCCCCAGCTGCTTTATTGCTTAGCTATCTGTGACCTTAGCACTAGCATCAAGCCCCTTTGCTCACACCCAGACCCTGTTCTCCATCTCCCTGAAACGGCCTCCCGAGCTCCCTGTGCTGGCCAGGGACTGGCGCCCCAGCCTGGTGGGCAGCATCGGCTGAGGCCCCCAACACCCTGGGTCCTCTGCCTTTGAGGGCAGACACAGTCCAGGAACTACTTCAACGCCTTTCCAATGGCAAGTGGGAATACCCAAATAAGCTGACGAAACTGTTTTGCCCCCAATTCCACATTTATTCTAGCAAGTAACTGCCATGGGCACTGACATGTCTAAACTGAACTGACAGCTCAGCAGGTGAGTGGGGTTTTGAGCCGGGGGGTGATCCTGCCCTACCATGCAATCTCCTGGGGTCCTTTGCAAAACTGCAGGTCCCAACACAGACCTAAGCCACTCTGCCCCTCATTCAGGGGTCCCACCTGGCTCCCACCTCCTCTGGGTGCTGCTCAAAGTCAGCAGAGGCCTTCGGGGCTGCCTTTTCCTCCTCTGTAGCACGGGAGCCCCTGACATCACAGTCTCTCCTTTGCCCCCCACCCCACCTAGAAAGAGACTGGGTGATGATGGGCCGCGTCTGCCCAGGCTCTGCCCAGGGCCACTCCGTGGTAACATTTCTTGAATGAACACATGAGGGAGGGAGCCCCTGAGGGGAAGGGTGGTGGGAAGGGCAATGCTGCACCCCGTGGACATACTGAGCCCACAGCCTCACCTGGTCCTCCACCTTGTGGGCAATGACGGTGGCCCCTTCCTCCAGCTCCGCGTCATTGAGTGGGCGGATCCGAAGCACTACCTGCGGGCAGGACATGGTGCAACTGCCTTCCAGGCCCACCCAGGCTGCTCCTGATTCTCCCAGCACGCCAGGACCACCAGCACCACACCCCTCCCCTCCTGTGAGCACCACACTCTTAGGGAAGCCACCAGGACTACTGAACCCCAGTGCCCAGCAGTCGCCCTCTTCCCAGTGCATGGCATGAACTTGCTCACACCTCTAAACAAGGTGCTATGAAAACGGCTGCCCCCATTAGTCTCAAATGGGAGACTGAGGCGCAGAGAGGAGTAACCTGCCCGAGGTCACACAGCTACTGGGGGGGGTCTTAGCACCTCAGCCTACTTACTGCTTCACACCGCCCCACCCCACCACCAGGGCAGGGACCCAAACATGCACGTAGGCTGTGGGTGCTTCCAGAGGAAAAGCTGGTTTCCCAAACAGGAGTCTGGGCTCTGCTTCCATCACTCCCCACCCCACAGTTGTCCCCCGTTCCAAGGAAGTCCTCCAGGAGGCCCTCTGGGGCCATGCACCCCCAGGCCTCAATCCTCCACCATCACGCAGGAGCTGCGGGCCCCAGCACACCAGTGCAACCCTTCCCGGCTTCCTCATCTGTCGGATGGGCGAAGTGCCTCCTGGTAGAAACGGCAAGGTTCTCCCTAAGGGGAAGTCATGACTGGAGTCTCTGTAACCAACCTACAGGTTTGGGGCATCTCTGGCCTCAGCTCATTCAACTGTCAAACAGCCTGAGGTTCCTGGTCACCCAGCAGATGGGTCTTCGTCAGGCCTTGCACAGCCTGGACTGGGCAGGGCAGGGGGTGCCTACCAAACCCCACCTGGTGGGCTGGCCCAGACTCTGAGCTCCCTGGGGAGATTCAGAGAACAAGGCATGAGTGGGGTGTGGAGGAACTGGGGAGCAGAAGGTAGCAGGGCCCTGTGAGGGTAGAGGAGCCCCTGGGTTAGGCAGGGCAGGGCAGGGCCCTGCACAGGGTCTCAGCCTGATGGCAGCCTGCCTGTGCCAAGCAGGCAGTGGGCCAGGCAGGAAGCGGGCTCAGGTACACACAGCCTGAGGGCTGGCAGGGGCGCAAGGCACTCACCACAAGTTGCTGGTCCTTGGGCTCCATCTCCCTGACAGCTGGCTACCTGGGCCGGGAGGGGCCTGTGGTGGGAGGGAGGGCACAGGGCCAGGTGCTTGCTCCCGGCTGCTCCCTGCTTTGCCGGCCAGGTGAGGCCGAGTCGCAGTCCTGCCCCACCATGCCCCGCCCGCATGACGTCAGCAGGGGCCCAGGAGCTGAGCTGCCTTGGGGACATGGGACTGCCCACGTGGCCTGGCGGTTTCTGAGCAGTAAGTGCTCAGGTCCTGGTGGGCGCAGGCTAGCTGCACGCTGGGTCCATGGGACAGGCTGGACACCAGGCAGCCTTCCTGTCCGCGCACTCATCTGACGCTGTGACAACCCGAGTGCCTATGCTGCAGCCCTACCGGGGCTACAGGTAGGCCTCCCTGAACGCTGCACCTGGCGCGGCCCTAGAGCTTTCCCACCAGAGGGGAGAACGTCACCAGCTAGCTCAACATCATCTGTGTGTGGTTTTCCCAAAGGCGTTTCTAAATCGACCTTGAAGTGACCTTCAGGTTTCCGATTAGACTAGGGTTCTCAGCCCCTTACCCCATGCTGCCCATCTGCACCACATTTAAGGCCTGACACCCACTATCAGGTTTATTTTCTTCCACGCTGCATCCTGCTCTGCCCCTGCTGTCTCCAGGGGGGTCATCACCTTGACCAACCCAGGCTGCACCCACCAGGCTGTGCAGCTAAGCAGTGTGGTATTCCTGCCACGTCAGAGATCATATCACGGAGCTCAAATCTGAGATCCGACTTGAAGACTAGACCACAGAGCAGAATGGTTGGGCCCAAGGTTCAACTTTTTGCTCAAGGTCACCAGGGCTACCCAGATGGCTCGGCTGTCCCGGTGGGGTTGTGCCACCACAAATACCCACATCCTCCCCTTGGTGTCCAGGTAATGTTGGGCTCCAGAACTTTCCAGCAACATGAACAAGGCAAAGGGGCAGAGCACAGCCTCTGCAGCACCCATGTCCCCGCGGTCCCTGTCCACGGGGCTCTAGCCATCCACCCACCCACCTGGCATTTGGACAGGCCATGTCACCAAGTTCAAACGTGGGGGCAAATCCCCTCCCATCCTGCCTACCTCTGGAGACAATGAAGCCCAGGCCTTGCGCACACCCCATGCCCCTTCCCAGCCCTGCAGGGTGGGTCAGGAAGTTTTTCTGCAAGGGGCTGGCCCTAGGAAACTGGTTCTACAGCAGATAAGAGTTAACGCAAGCACGTGTTTCAAAAATCCTTTTATTTACAAATTGTGTAAAACAGTTACAAATAACCGCTTTGAAACAGTGAAGTGTTTTAAAGCTATTAAAAATCTGTTAATATGACAGAAAGGTGCCTTTTCCTTCTCACTGCCATTTTAGAAAAACTAGGTGTCTGCACACAGAGGTTTAAGGAACGTGCACTGAGAGGGCAGGAGGAGCTGCAGCAGGCGAGAACTGAAGACAAAGTCAGGTGGAGGAGCTTCAGGACCCCAGAAAGGGAACGCAGCACTGTGGCAAGGATGCACATGGGGCAGGCAGCCTGCACACACGTGTGGCATGGGGCCTCAGTGAAGGGCCCAGGTGCAAGGACGGGCACTCTGGTCTTGTCAACTCACCTCCCAGATGGCGCTGAGGGCTGTGTCCACAGCTGACTCCCAAGGGTGCCTGCTTTTTAAATGAAGCCTCATACTCCAGCAGAGGAAGAAGAAACCAGTCATGAGGCGTCGACAGGGGGCACATTGCAAAAAAACTGGGCTGAGCCATGTGCACGTGTTCACTTCCTTCCCAGGAGGGGAGAAAATTATTCAGAGGCCCACATTACAGTGGCCACAGTGACAACTCAGTGGAAACCTCCAAGCCCGTGCGGTTCAGAGAAGGCTAAAGGGTGTTTTCTTGGGTGAACGACAAGCAGAAAAGATAAAGGCCTCTGGAGGAGCCGTTTCCTGACTGTTCGGACACACTCCTTACAGAGCTGAACTGAACGCACAGCACGGAGCCCCGAGGGCAGACGCTCCTGCCTTGCCACCGCTGGCCTGGAGCAGGCGTCCAAGACAAGCACCTGCAGTGGCTGTTTCTGGGGTCGGGGGGACAGGTGCCACACTCGTGGCCATCATCACATGTAAAGACAGGAGAAAGATAGCTTTTCATAGAGGTTTGCTTTATTTCCGTGTTCAGCCTGTTCAGAGAACCTGCCACAACCCAAATTGGGGAGACCACGCACGGCAGTGCTACTCCCCACCTGGAGCCCAGGATGCGCACAGGGGACAGCAAGCCCTTGAAGGGATGGCGTTCAGCTGCGGCTGGCGTGCCTCAGTGCCACCGACAGCAGGGGGAAGGCTGCCTGCTGCAGCCGTGCGGAGCCTAAGTAACAAACACTGGTGTGATTTAAAACCCCGAACAAGAAAGATTTAAAGCAGTGCCTTAAAACCTCCCCTGCTGAGGATGCCAGGGGTTAGAAGGCACACGATGTGTGAGACGGAAGCGTCCCTGGTGCAGTCAGTCCAGAGCGAGAGGACACAGGTAGAAATTCAGGAATTGTGCCAGCTTTCTGCAAAAGGACGACCTCGGTTCCAGCACAAGACACGGTGACGCTGCAACAAGGACACCCCTTTACTCTATGTCCTGCGCCTTGGGGCCAAGGGAAGCAGGTCAGTAACGGCCCCAACGAGCAGTGCAGCAAATAGAATCACCCAACCTTTGAAGGCGGGAGGCCTGCTCAGGGCCCAGGCCCCGGGGTGAGTGGCCAGTGCAGGAAGCAGCCTCAACTGCAGAGTGCCCTGTCCCAGGGGCTGCCACAAGCCTCCCTGCCCTGCAGCCATGCTGCCTGAACACCCCACACACCAAGCCTCAGCCCTCCTCTCCCTGAACACACCAGCTCCGACACTGGAACTGCCAGGCCTCCCTCCACTCCCGACCGGATTTCGAAGGCGGCTTTTGACTTGGAGCACCAGGGACTGGCCACAACGGGATGCAGCAGCTGGTTAACACCTGCCTTTCTGTGCAACACACCAAGGCCTGACCTGGATTCCCGGATATGGCCCAGTGGCGGTCTGGAGTGTCCCCAGGCAGGACACATCAATTCCCGGCATCCACCCCAGCCCTGCTGTCCTCACAGCCAAGCCCTGCTCCATGGCACTGTTCAGAGCCCAGAGCTCGTTTCCCATGAAGACCTCCAGCCCCTGAACTCTTTTTAAGTTCACCGCCAAGGCTCTCCTAATAAGCATGCGAAACTGAACTTTCACTTGACGTCTATGGAGGTATTCTAACTCTTGGGATGACAAAATGGGAAAGAAAACCCACCAACAGGATGTCAGCGGCCACCTGTCTGAAGGCATCTTACCACTGTGCTCTCAATCACTCCTGAATTCCTAGAGGAATAATTTCTTCAGTGACAAAAAACTCAATGGTCTCCTCCTCCCAGTCATCCACATTGCTGTCCAGCTCGTCAGTGTCCACACCTGAGAAGAGAACAGAGGGCTACTGGGTGTGCAGACGCGCAGGAGGGCCCAGGGGCTCCACCAGGGATCTCACCTTCGTGCACCACACACACACGCACACATGCACGCGCACACACACACACCAGCCAGCAGGCCATGATCACACAAGGTCCTCTCCAAAGGACTGTGGCCTTGAGCCTGCAGGCAGTGCCAAGTCTTGATTCTCTAACTTAAGAATCTCTCAACAACACTGGACGTTTACTGAAAAATGTGGGAAATGAACATAGATGCAAAAGGAAAAAAATATCCTGTAACAAATGTATGCCTTTAAGAAAAAATATCCAGCTAATGAAGTTACCTCCTCGCAATTCTAGGCGCTCATTTTTCTGCTCCATGTAGAGCTCTTGGGCCATTTTCCGGTATTTTCGGAAATCTTCCATCATGGTTCGCCTTCTCTCCACCAATTCCTAAGTACAGAGTTGGGGGAAGTTGCTGAAGGAATACCTGACCCCACCTTCATCAAGCAGAGAATCTGACAGCAGTGGCCATGCCCCAAGACCAGCACGCATGCACTGACAGGCTCCGGGCAACATGCCAGGGCGGACTGTCTCCACCTCCTGCTCTAATAACCCCCTATAACCCCAACTTCTGTTATCTGGAAGGCCAGCAGCCCAGGGCTCAAGGCTGCCCCCTGCCGGGCACCCCACACTGGCAGCAGGGAGTCTCTGCACACACCACCCTCCCCACCCGTCAGAAGGGAGGTGGTAATTCCTGGCATGTCCCTTGACATAGGAGCAGGCTAACCTTTGAGGCTTTGGACTGGCTCAAACGATCCTTTTGTTCAAAGATCTTAGAGTATTTCTTCAGATCCTTTTTAATTTGCTGAAACAAAGACAAGTCACCCAGGATTTAAATATTCAGAGCAAGAACCACAGCGCCACCTCCAGGTCACTAGCATGAAGCCTCCCAGGAGCCCCACACCTGACCCTGCTCCATCCCTTGGGGTTCACAGTCTGGTAGCTCTGCCAGACACTGTGAGCGCACTCCCCTCATCACGTTAAGACCCACAGTTGTGCCCGAATCCCACCAGGGCACCGCAAGAGCCGCCGGCATCTTTCCACACACCCCATCACCTCATGCAAACATCCTAAGTTGGTGCTGACATGGCCTCAAACTGCCTCACACCAGCTTCTCCCCTGAAACCATTCCCTCCTATGAGGTTCTTGCTGCTCCGGCAGCTCTTCAAAGGCTCCCCCCACCAATGTCCTGTTTTCATTCCTCGCTCATCACCACCCTGACAGTAACAGAGAAAAGGTTCTCCTCTTAGTGCCACAACTATTTCCATGCCCCTCAGCCTTGTGGGGCACCAGACCTTTATCTGATCCTGGCTCAGGAGCGTGGGGGGCCGAGGTCTCCACAGCAGCTGGCAAAAGCGGTCCTTGTTATTTTTCTGCAGAAGGCGGCCTTGGAAAGTCCACAGCCAGTAGGCATTGTCCACCTAGGAGAGAGCAGAGGCCATACCACTGAGTTACACCAAGACTGAGATCCTGGAATCTTTACTGTCACAGAGCCAACAAAATTGGCCATTTCATTGAACAGATGTCTGAGAGCCAGTACTCTGTCAAACAATGCCACTGGTATTTGAGAGACTAGGTAACAAAACAGGTCCCCGCCTTGAGGAGCTTCCACTCAGCAGGAGCAGATGGTCAGTGAGACAGAACATGGTGCGCTGCAGCTCCAGCTACAGCATCGTACACAGGGCAGCTGGAGCTGGGCTGGTGGAGCACAGGCCGTCTTACTGTCTGTGTCGAGGGACTCGTGCCAGAACATAAATTAGCCATATCACCTTGCACTGAGTTTAACTCAGCTAACTCATTTTTCACAAGACTTTCTCGATGAGGGAAGCAGTGAACTAACTTACACTCAGTGGCATCTGGTTGCAGACCCATGCTCTGGGAGCATGCTGAAATTTAACTGGGTGATCAGTGGTTTTGCGAGGCACCAAGGTAGCCTCATGGAGGTGACGTGTGCACACACTTGGACACACACATCATCAGCGTGTCCTGATCTGAATGAGACTCTCACTCACTGTCTGAGTGATGTATGCCAAGTATGTGTTCCTGAGACTTCTGCACTCCACTCAACAAACTGCCCTATCAGATCTCATTACATACGTGAGCTGGTTCAACTGTCAATACCTCTGACAGCAGCAAAGTGCACAATATTTAAATACGCAAAGGAAGCTGGGCAGACTTTGCCTCTAGTTTGGGAGTAATGGGCTTGTGCAGAATGCTGAAGCGACGCCAGCGCTCAGAGTGTATAGCATGTGGCATCATACGGGATGGGACATACACAACAGGATGCCACACAGGACTGGGATACCACACAGAATGGGAGCCCTAGAGAGTAAAGGGTTTCTCAGAATAATCAGGTTGCAGATCATCTATGATCTCTAAAGGGGATGGGCCTTCTACGCAGAAAGGCGCTCGTACACACCACCTTCTCCCACCCCCTTCAGGGTGCCAGAGCCCCCAGACAAGAAGCCTGCCCAGTGGAGGCTGCACCAGCCCCTGCCCCTGTCCGCAGTGAGCACAGGGTCCTTCCTCCTGCCACAGAGGTGCCCCTCCACTCCTGCTAAAGATAGATAAATACAGAGCTTCTCAAGAAACTAAAAACAGGAAAAGCAAAGGTTTTCCTGTGTGCCAATTCATCTGGCAAGGAAGCCCTGACTTCAACCATGTGCCGGGCACTTTCAGACACTGGGAACATGCGTGAGGGCAGGTGAGGACAGACCTGGCCCCCACGGTCCATCCCAGTGGGAAAAGGAGGCAACAAGACTACTAACAATCAGCCAAGACAAGCTGCCATTTTGTGCAGTGTGAGGACACACAAGGCAGGAGGAGTACCTGCCAGGCCTGTGAGGGGAGCCTCTGCAGATGGGCACCAGACACCCACATGGCAGGAAGCCCTAGATCACAGCAACTATATTCTAGGCAAAGGCCAAGAGACAGAACAAGCTTGGGCCAAGTCAGCGTGGCCTCTGCTCGGTACGGGTGTGGTCACTGGACATATGACCAGAGGCTGCAGCACAGAGGGCCTAACAGGCCACAAGGCCCAGTAATGATGGTCCAAACCACAAACCTCTTGAATGGGACATAACTGTGCTGGTATCATGTGCAAACTAGGGCTACCCTCCCTGCATTTATAAACCACGGTGAGAAGCTGGGATTAATTCTGAGCTGCAGTGGGAGGGTTACAAACCAGTATACAACCGGATTCCCACACTATAAAGCCCTCTGGCTACTGCACCACATGAAGGCAGCCAACACAGGCTGTTAGCAGGCCTGAGATGTATGGGGTCCAACTCAGAAAGAGAGGAACCAAGGAATGCCAGCCCGTTTGTGGACAAGGCCAGCTGCCTTAGAAGCCCTGCTGAGAAGTATCCAGAGGCAGCTTGGCCTGAGCACGGATGGTCAACAGATCAGCAGCAATGCCAGCGCCATGGGAGGAGGTGACACTGGCTTGGAACTCGTACCCAAGGGGAGGAGAGTCAGCCACCGCCCAGCATGGCCTGGTTTCCTCTGTGCCCAGGATACACAGGGCCTGTACCTTATGGCTCCACCAGGACACAGAAGTGACCACGTAGCGCCCGGTAGGATCCCACTCCACATCAGAGGCCATGTAGTGCTCTGCGATGTTCATGACTGTGCAGTCCGACGTGTCAACAAACGCCAAGGCACCGTTCATACTGGGGAAACAGAGCAGTCAGCTTCTGGAGGGCCTCGTTTATACACGCTGTCCTCCAGGCCTTCCTGCACTGGGGACAGGCTGTAGGCGGGGGTGCATGCATGACCTTGGAGCCCTCAGACATTGTCTGACGACTGCATCATCCTTAATATGGACAAAGAGCAACAACCCTAGGCTGTCGGTGAGGATGTGTGAAGTGCAAGTAGTGAGCACTGCGCATGCCCGGTATTACTCAGAGGAAAGGTCACCTGAGACCCCAGCCTCCAGCAGTGCCACGGGGAGAACAAACAGCTGAGAGCCCCATTAGAGCACAGGTGGGGAGCACCAGCCCTGCACCATTCCAGACACTTGGCTGGAACGGGAATGGGAGGAAGCAAGGGAGGCTTACACCAGAGGCAAAGGCAGCTTGCAGCTGTTTGACTCAACTTTCTTCCTACAAGACGTCATGGACTTCCCATCAGGGGCACTGGATGGGAAGCTCGTGCTTCACCAAGAAGGAATTACCACCCACTGCCAAATCCTCAGGGCCCATAGTGAAAGCACCGGCAAGTGGCCCAATCTGGGGTGTGTGATGGAGACGCTACGAACAGTGAAGATGCGTCTACTGAAACGGGGTGACCCTTTCATGTGAGAACACTGATGTGTCCTCGAGGAGTTGGAGTGCACCATTCCCACTCAGGACCAGAGCCCCATGCAGGGCTCCGGGGCCGGGGTCTCCGTGGCAGCACACAGGGCTGCCTGCAATGAGCAGACACGTCAGACAGCCGACACCCACCTCCTCAGACCGGCCAGCACAACGAACTGCCCTTGGGGGCTCCAGAAGATGGTGTTGGCCTGCTGTTTATCAAACATTTCTGAAAGGGAAGGCAGTGCTGTCAGCGTCTCTGGGAAGGTCCTACCGCCGGGGCACAGCCCAAGGGAGCTGGCTAGGGGTCTGCTGCCACTTGGGTACCACGGGCCCTCAGCCAGTGCTGCTCTCTCTGCACACTGACTGGCTGCCTATGGCAACTTCAGAAGCGCCGTTTAAGTACACCTTAAGTTAGGACCTACACCTAAAAAGAAAACAGGGTGGGAGTGGGGGTGCATTCTGAAGCCACAATAGTGTATTCAGTCATCCACCAGGCAGCAAGTCTTACTGTAGACCTCACAGCTGGGCAGGAATCCACAGCTTCCACCGGATTCTGACCCAGGAGCCTGAAATCCACCCTCCCAGTGCCTCACATGTCTTTTTAAACTGTACGCTCATGAAAACGTAAATGCATCATCTCTCCAAATACCTACTGGTAACTTCCCAAAAGGTCCTAGCAGAGCTCACCCCTCCTGCAGAACCACTGGAGGTCTTTATCAGAGCCCTGAGCCCTCACAGACCCCAGGACACCGAGTAGAGTGGGGAGGCTGCCCTACCCAGGCAGAATGCTCAGAGTGAAGGGAAACAGAAAACCCTAGGGCAGACAGCCTTCTGCAGTCACTGGAAACGCTGTGGAGTCATGCAGATGAACTGTGTTGACACAGCCTTCGAGAGGTGTGGACAGTGCCCAGGGGCACTTGCACAGCACTGTCTTAGAGCATACTATGCAAGGAAAACAAAAGGCTTCTGAGTTCCCCTATTCCCCTTTCAGATGAAAAGGAACCAGTAACTCAATTTCCTGACAGACAACCAATTGACTCCACCACAAAATGATGTCCCCCCAGAAACTGCTAAGCTGTATGAAATGAAAGCCAGTTCTTATCATAACTATCTCAGGAAAAGCTGTTCCTAAGGCACATGAACCCCAGTCAGGGTGGGATAAACCCACGGTCTCTACGGGAAGAAGTCCTGTGTGAAACACCTGGAGTTCCGTGTGGGGAATGCGGCCCCTTCACTGAAGTGGGGATGCAGGTGGTCTCCCCACCCAACTCACCAAAATGACACTGCTGGAAACAACAAACGTCAGGAGACTGGCACTGCTGAGGACTTACACTGTGTGCTGAGCTCCATGATCAGCGCTAAGGACATGGGGCAGGTGAAGCAGACAGGAGCCCAGTGGGGCCAGGGCAGGTCAGTGGTTGTCGGCTGTGGGCGCCGACAGGCTCCAGCCTGCATGCTGCCTGCCCGGTCCTCCTGCACGCTCGGACTACTCACTGATGAGCTCGATCTTGCCGTTGTTCTTCACATGGTAGAAAGACACTGAAATGCGAGGTGCCTCCCCGTGCAGCACAGCGAACTTGCTTCCGTTTGGCTCCCAGGCAAAGGCTATGATGGTCTCTGGAATCGAGAGGAGCGGTGAGCCCTGGCCACTGAAGGCGACATTCCAATCTTTAACCTGAGAAATACTCCCAATTCATAGAAGCCACGGGCCAGCACACACCGCAGGCACAGGGACAAAGTGCACACGGCCTCAAGCACAAGGCTCCATGTTTGCGCGGACTCAGGAGGTTGTCAGCCAGTGCGGGACTGCCATGGGCCGGTCGCCTCCTGGGGGCACGCACACGGACCCCAGGGCCCACAAAGGGTCGACAGTCTCTTTCCACCCAGCAGGGGTCCAGGCTTTATACATTTCTCAGCTCTGTACCCCCCTTCTCTCCCCCTAGCAAAACAGAAAACAAAACTGAAACAATAGGCAGAATTTCCACCCAACGGCAGAAGTGCAGCATCTGAACAATTCACAAGTCAAAAAGAATTTTCTAACTGAGCTCTTGCAGATGAAAAGCTCTCCTGCCACCCGTCTCTGAACACATGATGGGACCCACTGTCCACACATTCTCCCCTCAGAGCAAAAGCGGCTGGAATCCTGGCTCTTCGGCTACATGGGCCAGTCCAGCAGAGAGAGCGAGCGCAGAGCGCACACCTTCACTCAGCAACTGGAGTCAAGAGTGAAGCTGGAAACCCTGAACCACAGATATATGTTGCAGAACTCAGTCAGCTGGCCACCCAGGCCATGCCTGTGAGGACAGCTGAAGGCCACATGTAAAGAGCACCACCAAAGGGGCAACTGCTATGGGAGCACCCCAACCAAGGAACTTGCCTTTCATTTCAACCACATCGACAGGCACCTGTTTTTCCCTCATTCGGAAAATTTCAAAATTTGTGACAACACCCTGTTTAAAAGAAAAGAGGCAGGGATGAGGAGAACTAACTTCTTCCAAGGACAACTTACAGACTGAATGACAGATTAAATCCACACCCCAGTGAAGTGACACCCATCGTGAAGAACTCAAATGCTGACTCAAGCATAAAGTGGAACAGTCTCCTGGGGAACAGCTAGATATCCACACTCCCGCTCTGGGTCAGACTACTTCCAAGAGCTGCCCTGAGATCCTCCTCAGGCACAAAAGGTCCAAAGACACACTGCAGCTGGCTTTTTGCCCCAAAGGCCCACCACGGGGCCAGGAACAGTGTGTGGGAAGGTGGGGCTGAGGCTTAAGCCACTGAGCCACACACTTGGAAAGGACAGGTATTAGAGTGTGTGAATTCTATCTCAAAGAAAATGTTTTGTAATGGAGAATACCTTCATTAGGAGGAAAAACCAGGTAATTTTTTGGTAAGTTAGACTGAAGATGCAAACAAAAACCACCTGTGTCAAGATGCTACTCTGCTCAGAGAGCAACAGTCTATGACGGCAGCAGCACAGAAGGCAGGTAAGGCCCGAGGACGGGCAGACTCACTGTGCTCCCTGGTGAGCATGACTGTGTGAGCGGTCACCCACTCAGGTTTACAGGAAAAGCTGGTCCTCAGTGAGGTGGTGGCAAGGCCTCCAGCTGACTTGCCAGCTAACTACCCTCACTATCAGGTGGGGCTGACGCCTAACCCATCAACTGGAACCGAGAAACCCACAACCACCCCCAACAGAACTAGTCTGGAGGTGCGCAGAAGGAAGGGCCTCCTCCGCCGGCTGGCAGCCACTTACCTGGGTACCTTTTGGAGTCCTGTCTACTTTCACACACAAGTAATCTCCATTTTTTTGCCAATGTAGCTTGCAATCCACAACATTAAACAGATTCCTAACTCTGATCTCTTGTCTGGTAGGAAGCTGCATCAGGGTTACCCTGGCTGGAATATCTTTGTCTTCTGGCACCCAAAAAGCTATTATGTTACCACCCGGAGACCACGAGAAGTCTCTGTGGAACAAAGAGAGCAGTGTGTTACACAAGGATTAAGCAGAGAGCAAAAGACTCACTTGCTGCACATAAGCTCCGCTCTGGTACATTTACACCAGAAGCAGGAATGGCTCACATGGAACGGACAGCTTGGTGTCCTGGGATTTCACGCATAGCCCACCTTGTCCTCATCGAGCCAGGGACTCTTATCTACTCACTTCACCAGTAGGACAGGATGCCAAAGACACTACCCACTGTTATAGCAGGTTGGTGGGGATTCAGACTCAGGCCCTGATCCCCACCCATACTCTTAACCTGTAAGAAGGCAAGTAAAACAAACTTCAGGCCGATGGACCCAGCTATGTGACTTCTGAAGATTCATTAAGGTGCTAAAGGGGAAAACCCCCAAATTAATGAGGGTAAGAGAATTCAGGCAGAATCAGAGTAAGGCCTTTCCAAGGTATAAATTAGCCTGGAGAGCAGGTACTAGAATGAACGACCCTGAGTTCTTAGTTGCAAAGAACACCTTTACTTTTGCATTTACGGAGAATCAATTCCTGTTCTTATTTTTAACTATAAGCCATAATTTATCCCAAGAATGCAAAAATGAAAGGAACAAGCAATGTCCTGTGTCCCTGCATTGCTAGTGCCTCAGATAAATAAGAACCTGCCTACCGTCAGAGAAAACAAGCTGCCATTTACGGAGGGCCATCCAAACCCCGTGGCATACACGGCTGGAACATCACACACCTTCTGACTAAGCGGAGCTGCCCCTCTCCTCAGAGACTGCACCCTAGGCCTCTGGTCCCAGGGCTTGGAACACGACACAAAGCAGACTCAGGACCCCACGGCCCTCAAGGTGTAGCTACGTGTGGGAATGGGGGTGCAGGGAGCGGGGCCCACTGACCAGCAGTCCCAGGGCAGCCATGCCTGCTGAACCACCCTTGTCTAGGATAGGCGCACAGTCCTTTCTCCAACTGGGTAGCACTGAGTGCTAAAGGAGAACGAACAAAGCCCATGCGACATGACCCCCACTTACTTTATGCCAGAGATCTTCAGGCTCTTCTTGTCCAGGAGACCCATGGACTGCAGGGAAAAACAAAGGTCACAACGCAGTCACACAGTGCCAATGTCTCAACACATGCCCATGTTTACAGAGAGTGAAGGGGAGGGTTCACAGGGAGCATGCCCAGGGAGAGTGAAGCAGGGAGTGAGATGGGCAATGACCCTGCGGCACACGCCGCTTCAGAAGCCTGTTATGTGACCTCCCATCTCAATTCCCTGGAATGGCCCAGTGGGGGCCAGCAGGCGAGGACCAGAGGCCAGGATGCAAGAAGGGGACAGGAATTCTGCCTCCCTCCTGCCAATACAAAGCTGCTCCTCCTTCCAGTTTGGCCACAACTTGAGGGACAGGCCAGCAAGGCACCCAGCAGCCGTCGCAGACAGTGAGCAGCAGCCCAGGCAGCTCCTTTGTCAATCAAATCACTTACCGGAGTTTCATAGATGCTGAGAGTGTCCAGTGTCATCCTAGCAAAGAATTTACCATCATGACTCCACCTAAGGGGAAAGAGAAGTGCCAGGCTGTCAGAGAGAGGAGAAGGCTGTGGGGCCATCCCTGGCACCCCTGCCCCACTCACTTAAAAATAGGCCAGTGGGCTGAGCTTTCACAGTGAAATCCTCTCTTCTTCTGCCCAGTGAGGATATCCCATATGATGATGGCCTGAGGATCATCCTGAGTGTCCATCAGGGGGCTGAAGGTGACCAGGTACCTGCAATAGAGGGGATGTGCTTTAGAATCTAGCACCTCCGTGTTCTCACTGGAGGGCCACACTACGTGCAGGCAGGCAGGAGCCAAGCCCTGTACCCACGCTGCCTGGCCGAGCTTCTGCTCCGGGTCAGTCCAGACCCGGGTGAGGCAGACACGACATACAGCCAAGGCTCAAGCAACTGGCACTTTCCTGAACCCTAGGCTCCCCTAACGATCCTGCCACACCAGGAGACCCCACTCGAAACCCAGAGCAGAACCACTGCTGTAGCCCCAAGCCCTCGGTCACTTGGCACCAGGGCCCTGCAGAGAGCAGCTCAGCACAGTTCTCCACTGAAGCCAGAGGAGGAAAGACCCAAAGCCTTGGCTCAGAAGCCTGCTCCCGCAAGGGGCCAAGAAGCCGTGAGGACTCACACATCTCCACCAGTACTTACTGAAGACAAGGCAAACAGAACGGTCACGAGGGTTCAAAAGACAGTGTGCCTTTCAGTTTTCCACATTAGTACGTTTTTACACTAAAAACTTAAGGGCAGGTGCAGCACTACAGGGAGCCTGGGAGACCAGGGCTTTCGTCAAGTCCCACAATGAGTTCAGGCCATGGAGGAAGATATGGGGCTTCTGTGCAAACAGCACGAGACTGGAGGGGACACAGGGCGCCAGATACACTGGGAAGGCTGCAACGGCCCTGAGCAGGGCTGAAGAACCTGAGCAACAGTGCTCTGGGCTCCCACGTGCTCCCCCTCTTATCCAAACCTTGGCTCCGTGGACTACCTCACCCTTGAGACAGCGCCATTTGTGAGAAAATTATCTGCAGAACACAAGACCTCAGACTAGATTCTTAACTGGAGAGAAAGTGCTTTACAAAGGACTGGATCAAGGGACCAACTGCAACACAGTGGCACTGGAAGAGCGCATGGTGTTGGTGCTTTATCTCCTGAGCCAGGGACTGCGCTGCGGGCGGGACAGTGCCATCCTGTCCCCAGGAGGCACATGCGACACTGCTTGAACCCAAATAGTTCAGCCAGAGCCAGGCCATCTCTGGGGAAGGTACACAGCAATGTAGCCAAATGCTAACTGGAGATCCATGGAGCACATGCACCCTTCCTGCAATTTTTCAACAAAGTTTGAAATTTCTGCAAAATGAAAAGGTTTCAAAATTATCTGTGTGATGGGTGTGAGGCATGAAGAGCAGCTCATTCTCCCAGGCACTTACCTTTCGCAAGGTGAGAAGTCAATTAGCTGGACACCCTGGTGGCCAAACCTCTGGATCTGCTTGAACCTTTCTCCCCCCCAGAGCGCAATGCCCCGCTGATGGAAGGTGGCCAGGTAGGTGCCCCTGGGGGACCAACGCACGTATGTCTCTGTCCACCTCTGTTGGGAGAGTCAGTGCCAGGATTCACATGACAACCCAAAAGGCTGAACACACTCTTCCGACCCCCAATGGGAAACACAGGAGCCCATTTTTCTCCTGATGATTTATTTCAAAGCTGGAGAAGAGAAGTTGTTCTCAGAGACATCAGCTCAAAGAACACGACTCCTGCTCTTGCACCCAGACCTGTTTTGCTAAGGAAACACAGAGGCGAGTCCCCACATGGCAGCAGATACCCACCGCTCTCTCCTCAATCGAGACAGGGTCCTTCACATCATTCCAGAATATAGATGTCCGATCTCCACTCTCAAATATCACGCTATACTGATCTCTGCACTCTGCCTCTTCTAGCCAGTAACGTAAATTTCCCTAAAAAGAGAGCCAAAAGCAAGTGTACAATACGTTTCATTAGCTTTAATCAAAGAGAACTTACTCCTGACTATTGCTCTTGGAGGCATGAACAACTCAGTTGCCATCCTGGACTCCTGAGGACTCAACCGCCCAAGTCAGGAGGCTAGCCTGTACTCCAGCTACTAACAGACTTGCACGACTTACCAAGTCTTTGAAAGGTTGTTTCTCTGGAATATCCCATTCATCGCTGATAGTCATGTACCTACAAGAGGAAAAGAAAGTGTTCAGGAGAGCAGTCCACAACGATCAGAACCCGTGGTGGGCGAGCAGACAGGTAATCACGCTGGCGGCGCTCAGGCAGCATGGGACTCCTCCCTGCTCTGCCCAGTGGCGGGGAGCCATGGGTGGCTGGGCGCCAGGGCTGCAAGTGTGGGGGCCAGGACGGGGAAGGCCACTAGCACTTCCCAAAAATACCGGGCGGCTCACGCAGGGTGAACATCCAGGATCCCACTACCCGAGTCAGAACTCACTTGTCGAAATCGGTGAAGAGATTGACTCTGAATGTGTGCTGCTTATCCAGCTTGTAGCCATCAGCATTTTTTACAGCATCCAAGGCATGGGCAGGAGATGCATATTCCAGGAAAATATACCTGAAGGGAGAATGAGGGCATTTTGGTCATGCTATAAGAACCCTCTGTGTGACTCGTAAACACTGTGACCAGCTGTGAGCTGTCCTACTGCCATGCCCCTGAGATGGTCAAACTGCTAGGACAGCAGCTCTCTTTACAAACAAAACCCAGGCAGAAGAGCCAGTCTCTAGCTCCACCAACCAATCAAAACATTTGTCATCCTGACTGTGGTAACAGTTTCAGTGATTTCTTTATGTCAGAACTTATGAAACTGTATACTTAAAGGAACTGCAAGTCAGTTATCTCAATAAAGCTGTTAAAAAACCTAAAATCATGGATAGTCGAGTATATCTAGAGAGCCTACTGTGCATTGTGAACAGAATATAAAGGCTCACAGACAATGTTTCATTATAAAAAGAAATGTGACACAAGCAACTAACTGCTGGTCACAAAGCAGCCTTCCTAGTTCCCAGAGCAGAAACATAAAGGGCATTACCTGTATTTGTTAATTTTTTGGAAATTAAAACTATTCCAAAATCTGAATTAAAAAAGTAAGTGAACTTTACCATCCTTTCATTCCTGTCTTATAAAAAGTTTGCCTGAGCTCTCCAAGGCTGGTGTTTACATGAAACGTTCATGGAGAGAGTCTGACAAGCTTGTGGAACAACAAAACTTCCCTCGCTGCTGGTTCAGTATAAACTGTGACAGCCACTCCAGCACCATCTGACACTGACATGACACAGACAGGCATTTCATGCAAGCCCACAGTCCCACACCTGGGCAGGTAACAAAGAAACTCTCATACCTGTTCAAAGGGGACAGGTACAGGACTGCTTATACCTGCGCACACTCAACATGAGTGACGGAGAACATCACTCACCCTTTTGTCTTTCCATCCTCCTCTGGATAAAAATCATTTGTGATTTTCCCAAACTTGGAAAAGATCTTATGGATAACATTTTTGAGTTTCTCAAGACGGTCAGGTCCCACCTGAGGAACATTGTCAACCACAATCACTGAATCAATTCCATCTGCTTCCTGTGGCCGATCTTTGAGTATATCTCCCAGTAATTCTGTACAAGGGAAAGATTTGTCAAGTGACTTGTTCTCACCAAGCAAAACACCAATACATTAGCTTAGTGCACTAAACAAATATCTAAAAAATAAAAAAATACTCCTCTAAATGTTTCACTGTAACAAGAAAAATCATGGCCCTGGCTTGATCATGGCCTCAAAGTTAAACATTCAAGGATTAGAAGATTTTAACTCTTCATACTCCCTTTGACAGTTGAAACGTATTGACTGATTTCTGGCAATAATGAGAAATTTTAAGTGAATTTTTAAACAAAGACTTCAGTAATGCAGAATGTAGACAGGAAGGCCTTTCACCATGAATCAGGAAAAAACCACAGGCTAGGGAATACCTGTGGCCAGCCTTCCCTGCCCCTCCTCCAGTGCCACCAGGCACTTTCTTCCCAGTTTACCACAAAACAACTAATTACCTGATATTCTTTATGTAAATAAAGCAGCCTTGTCTGAAGACAACACGGGGCTGAGGCAGGCGTTTAAAGGAGGAGACTAAAGAATATATAAGCTAACGGTCATGCAAATAATGATGGCATCTTCAATTCGATGAAATGCCTCTCCAGTGCTGGCAGACCCCAGCCATTTATAGACAGTGCTTGGAACACAGTAAGCAGTATGTGTTAACTGTGGATTTGCATAACTACACCCAAAAACTCAACGTGTATTATGTTCATGTCACCTGCCTTTCAAGTTAAGATCACAGAGCCCAAATCTTAAGCACTCAAACTTCCTGAAATCGCCTCATTTCCATAAAATGGGCCGCAGAGGCAAGAGAAAGAGAAGACAGGTGTGAGGGACCAAGCAAGAAGAAACAGGCAGAATCAACCACTGGTCTGGGGAGCAGCCTGGAGGCCTGCAGGCTCGTCCAGGCTCCCTGCTATGGGAGAAGCCTTTGGGCAGCAACAGAAAAATGCCTGAGCAGCTGTAGCAGACATTTGGGGTCAGATGAAGAAGTATCAGATGGAATAAGAAATCCTATCTTCTTAACATAAATTCTGTCCAAATCCTAAACTCCATTAGTTAACTTGTCCAGAAGACTGTAAAATCACAAGGCACTGGGTCAGGGGCTAGAATAGAAAGCTGTCTTTTAAAGCTGCTGTCAAAGCACACCATTAGATGAAAGTGCATCAGCAGAGCAACCAGCGCAAGAGTACAAGGTAATTTTTAAACAACAGTTGAAGAATAATGGCTTGTTACTCAAGTACTGTATGTTCTGGAACCTAATTTTCACTCCAATTTTTGTATTATACTCTTCAGAATTTCAACATGCTGAACAGGACACATCAGAAAATACTCTCTGCTGTATCTCATTTTTCTAAATAAAGTTAAGGAATTTTCTCCACTTTTGTGTTTCAAATTTTCCATAATAAGAAGTTAAAAAGGTCTTTCCAAAAGGAAAAAAAAAATCTTTCAATATCAAAAGGTGGGCCCTGTTATAAACCATTTCTAATTAATTTTAACACATATGAGTATTAAAAATGATACCTAAAAGAATTGTCATTTAAATTTTAAAGAAGCTAAAAGTGAGGGCAAGCAAAAAGAAAAAAGGTGGAAAGCAGCAGACTGGAGTTCAGAACCACGGGAGACATCTTCCTCAGAGAATGGAGTCAAATCCTTGGGTTATTTTTAAAGCTCACTTACCATATAATTAAACAGCCTGTTAAGCCTGATCTGAAATTACAAGGTTTGCAATAAAAAGTTCAGCTTTTATACAAACTGAACATTTCACAATCTTGGTGTTTAGTTTATAAGGGCCTGCCCATACCCAGTAAAGGAATAAATGCAGCAAGTACACAACAAAGATGCATGTTTCCATCATCACTACAGCCCCATTACCAGCCTGTCCTTCCAGTTCCAGGAGAACGAGAAAAATGCAATTCTCTAAACTAGTTGAAAATACAAAGATAAATAGTACTTAACGAGCCCCCCAAAAGAAAACATTAGCGTTAAAACCTTTTTCATGTATTTGTATGGCTGAGCACCAAAGGCAGTTGAAATATTAAACTCAAAGGATGGCTGTAGTTAAGATACCAAAAGGCTACCCTCTCTTGGAGCAAGAAGGCTCCTCCTGAGACGCAGTCCATTTCCACAAGAACCAGCTTTCTCGAGAAACAAATGTGCCTGAGCTAAGACCACAACCAAGGGGCCTCAAGAAAACAGACAGCTCACTCAGTTTTAGCTCCATAGGACCAGGAGCCTCACAGGTCACTTTTGGCAAAAATTTCAGGTTACAATGGCTCACAAAAGCCCTCCCTGCAGTCACCCAGTCCGAGTGGCCTGCACTACGGTCACACACCTGTTGTGGAAATAACTCACATGCTAGCAATGTTGTGTGAACTGGGTGTGCTCAAATAGTGAAGAGTGCTTAGAAAAGATCAGTTGCAGAGTAAATACTCAGGGCTCAAAAATGGGCTTGAAGATCAAAGCTTATATTTTAAAATATGAGAAAAACTGGTGCGGTAAAACCGTAGGACTGGCAGGAGGGTCCGGGGAGCTCCTAGCTACACTGCCTCCCTGTGAATTCTTGGCAGCCTACTTCACCAGAGGTCATTCTCTCTCAGAGCTGAGGGCCTTCCAAGCCTTCACTATCTCGTGCCAAAATCTCTGATCTTAAGAAATTAAGTATAATAATAGTGACGACGAGCAGCTCTTTAAGATTATGTTTAAGTTAAAAGTAGACAATCCTGGGGTTCCCTAAATTTTCTATTTCGTTTTACTTGAGATTCTTCATGATTCTGACTCAATCTCAATGTGATCAGGCACAGTATCTCAGAGAATACTTTTGTATCCATCTCAAAGAGAATACTTTTGTATCCTAACACAGTAACATCTTATTTACTTGGTGTATCGTTGGCTACTTCACTGGTGTATTGTTTTTCCCACTTTACTATAATGTAGTCAACACACAGAAGAATCCACTGATGAGCGGGCAGCTTGGAGAGTTCAAATGGCTAAAAACAAAACACAAACAAATGAGACCAGCCACCATCCCAAGTCACGTTAGGACAGGCTCTCTCAGGCAGGAAGCAAAAACTAAGTCAAGGTAGAAACGAAGGCAAGCAGGTGAAACAACACCGACACCTGAGGAAAGTATCTGCCAACCGAAGGACGGTGGTCTGTGCCTATGGAGGGCAGGCGCCAAGTACCCAGCTCCGCCACAACGCTTCACCCGTCCCTAAGAGTCCGCACCGAGGCTGTTGCTGGCCTGACGGGTGGCTGGTCACTCGGGACACCTAGGCCTGCACAAAGGGACTCGCCAACCGAGACAGTGCACACGTGGAGCGTCCGGCTTCGGCCGACCCTGGCGGCCACGGCTCCTCGTACACTTCGTCTGCCTCGCCCACCCCCCAGTGTGATAACCAGCCCCCAATTTGTCGCCACCCCGCACCCTTCTGTTTTTGGATAGAAAATGAAAACGAGGCGGCCCAGGAACTCATGAAAACCCTCCCCGGCGCGGGACACAGGCGGGGGCCGCGCCGCCTCACCTTCCTCGCTTACGTCGTCCACAAAGTCCTCGGGGTCGCTGAAGGAGGGCTCGTCCGCGCCGCCGTCCTCCCCGCCCGCCCCCTCGGACCGGGCTTCGGCCACCACGTCCCGGGGCTGGTCCGCCGGGGCCTCGCGCGCTGCCGGGGCAGGGGGCTCCTCGGGTGGCGGCGGCGACGGGACGGGGGCCGCGCCTACCCTTTCTGGCCCGTCGGCCGCGGGCTCGGCCGCCTCGTCAGGCCCCGGCACGGCCCCGGCCTCCGCGTTCTCGCCGGCCGCCTCCTGCGCGCCGGAGCCTGCAGGCCGCGGAGGCTCGTCCTCAGGCGGCGGCTCAGCGGCCGGCTCCTGCTGCCCGGGCTCGGCCCGCCGCTCCGCCGCCTCGGGCGCCGCCACGTTCTCCGAGTCCTGCATGGGCCCCGCCGCTGCCACCTCTGCCGGCCTCGCCGCGCTTCCGACTTTCCCAGGCTGCCCCGCGCGCGCCTGCCGCCGGGCCACGTGCGTGCGCCGGGCCGGCCCACCAGGACGGGGGTGGCTCCCGCGCGCGGGCGCTCGCGGCCGCCCGGACGGGCGCCGGGGAGATTCTCCCACTGCCCGCGAGGGGACTCCCACACCAAGCTCGTGCTCAGGCCCAACCACCGCGCTCCCTCCGCCACATCCACGACCAGGCCAGGCGCTGCAGCCTCCCCGCGCGTGCTGGCGGGTGGCTCAGTCCGATATGACAGCCACGCCCCCACTCCCGTCGGGCGCTGCAGTGCAGGGCCAAACTACGTGAGTGCGGGGGTGCAGAGTCGGTCAGCAGCCGGAGGGGACGGATCCTTAACCGCGCCCAAGTTAATACTAGAGGAAACTGTGAGCCCCACAGAGACCTCCGCCGTGACATCTTCGCCTGTAGTGACTTTAGCTTTAAGCCGCCCCGCTACACGTCGGCTTTCAGACTCGTCTACTGACTGGGCGAAAGAATGGGCGATTCCAAAATATTAAAGGAACTCCTGGAGAGCCAAAGACGGCCAGCACCGCTGCAAAGACGGCTGCCTGGCGCCTTACAGAAATGAGTGAGAGCGGCTTTAATCACTTACGCCCGAGCGCATCGCGGCGCCCGAAATCCCTCCTTTCCCCATTCCGACGGTCACCGTGGTTCGGCCCGCGGAGGCCTCCGCCCTCAGGCGCGCCCGCAATCGCAGCTACGTGGGCGGGGCCGGCGCTGCAGGGGGCGGGGCCGGCCACGGCTGGGCTGCGCCAGGCTTGGGGAGGGAAATCTGTATTGGTCTTCAGTGTTTTGGCCTTTGCCCGCCTATGGGCGCCCATCGTGGTGGTGGTAGTACCATCCTAAGAGTAGACGCGGTAGCGGGCGGGGAGCGGCTGGGGAGGGGACGGAGGGAGTGTGCGGTGGGAACTGAGCGTCAGTTTGGGGAGATGGACAGTCCTGGAGATGGTGACGGGGAAACTGCGCTACGTGAGTGTGCTTAATGCCCCTGAGCCGTGCGCCGAGAAAGATTAAAATGGTAAATTTAATGTCATGTGTATTTTATGTCAATTGAAAGTGCTGGGGAGGAAGAAATTTCTCCACGCCTGGAGGTTCTAGTTGGTCAAAGAACAAATTGACGTGAGCCAGATGAACACGATTAAAAAAACAAATTTAATTAAGTCCGTAAGAGGAATCCAGAGACAAAGATCCAAAGACAGTCAGGGACAATGAAGCATGTATGTCCTCCTGAACCAAGGAGATGGGGCTGGGGGCGCTGAGGCTTCAAAGGGAAGAGAAGCAAGTCACAGGAATATGTTTGGTAGACGAAGACTGGATGGGCTACTCGAAACCACCGGCACGGGAATGTTAAGAGAATTGCCAGTCCCTCCCTGTCTGCCACGCCTAGGTCACGATGTAGTGTAGCTCTCTAATGGTGGGAGCTCACCTCCTGGAGCAGGATCTCCACCTAAATTCTTTTTATGCTGAAGGTCAAAGTGTCTTTCAGAGTCTCGGGCCTCGTTTTCAGCTCACTTGTGACAATGGCACATCTTGGGGCAGCCTGCCCTTGGCCCCTACAGCAGAAAACACAACCCCCCGGGGTGCTTATATTGCCTGATACTTTTTTTGAATCCTCCCATCTTAGACATTCCCTGTGTAACTTGGGCAGGTCACTTGGCCTCTCAGTTTCCCTACCTGAAGAGTGAGGGGTAACACATTTTATGTGTGTGGCCTGCGAACTGGTTTCACAAGCAAACAAGTTTCTCCTGGAGGTTAAAGTGAGGCTCCTAATTTCTAGTTTATTCCGCAGTTTTCATAGATCACTGGGCTTTGCCAGCCCCTTTCTCCTGAAAGTCCTAAAGGCGGCAAATCAATGGACAAGAAGCAGATATTCGCAGAAAAGCTTGGAACGGCTGGCTTGGCTTGGAACAGCACAAACGTGTTGCATTCCCAGTGAAGGGCCTTTAATGCAAATAAAATCAGAGATGCCTGTACTATACTTTCATTCCTGTGACTAATTTATTTTATAATTGAAAGTGTGTACCTCTTTATCACCTTCACCTAGTTTTGCCCATCCCATGCTCCCTTCCCCTATGGCAATAACCAGTCTATTCTCTGTGTATGAGCCCATTTCTGTTTTGTTTATTTGTTTGATAACTCATCCATGTTTTCGATTCTACATGTAAGTGAAATCAGATGGCATTTGTCATTCTCTGACCTATCTCCCTTAACATGACCCTCTAGGTCCACCCATGTAGTTGCAAAGTCAAGTCTCCATTCTTATGGCTAAGTAATAATTCCATTGTGTGTATGTACCACATTTTCTTTATCCAAGAATGTATGTTTCTTGCCATCTTAGACTTACAGTGTAATGAGGCCAATATTAAAGAATGAAAGCATCACAGAAATATATAAGTGCCTTTGTGATAGGTTCATAAATTCCTTGACATTCCCCTTTCAAAAGAGGATGCCAGACCATGCTCCCTTAAGTGTGGTTGCACTGTCACTCCCTCCTAACAAATAGGATGTGGCAGAACTGATGCTATGTGCTTTCCACGTCTAGGTCCTAAAAATGATAAGCTTCAGCTTGGCTCTCTCTTGGATCACTGGCTCCGAAAGAAATTGACCACCATGTCCCAAGGACACGCAGGCCATCTGTGGTGGGCCCCAGGGTGGCGGAGTTGAATTCCAGACAGTATCAGCACCAAGCATTCAGACAGGTGCAGTGAAAATGGGACATCCGGCCTCAGCCAAGCCCGGTCCATGCCAGAGAGAGGTGTCAGCAGAAACCAACTCTGCAGATGCCTTCAGGGACTTCCAGCTTCCAGGACTGTGAGAAATACATTTCTGTTGTGTGAGCCACCCAGTCTGTGTTGTTCTGTTATGGCAGTTCGCACAGATTGCAAGACGGAAATATGTAACATATATAGAGAAAGGCCTAGAAGGGTACACATTAAATGAACACAGTTTGATGAAGGTAGGTAGTATTGGTGGCAGTGGTCAAAGAAAAATGTTGGCACAGAATCTAGGTGACAGGTTTGCAGCTGTTCACTGTAAAATTCTTTCAACTTTTCTGTGTGTTCGAAAAATAATAAATTTTTGTTGGGGTTAAGGACTTAAGAACCAGCTTTAAGAACCCCCCTCCCCTCACACACACTGGAACAATTTGAGCTTCAAAAAGAATAAAACATTATATGGTTGACTTAAATATAGTATGTTTAAATCCATTTGTTAATAATGGTATTTAGAAAAAAAAAAACCTGTTGCTCAAGTTGAATGTTGCTGGGCATTGTCTCATTATTGTAAAAGCAAAAGACTAGCAAAAAATAATTAAGCTTGCTTTTCTTGTTTTACTTTGTGTTTCAAGGTAACCAAATAGTTGGTGGAGGATTGTTCTTTATTAAACAATTCTGGCTAACAAATGCTGAAGGATAAAAAAATAAGGGAAGCAATATTTTGCAACCCTTATGAAATAACTAAGCAATGATCCTGAAACCATTGGGTAGGAGGTTGATGAGGCCTGTGTCACCCAGGGCCGAGGATAACGCTGTCTGAATTTAAAGCTATAAATTTCTCTCTACATACTTCAGTTACATCCCACAAATTATGTGTCGTGTTTTCTGTTGAAGATGTTTTCTAATTTCCATTTATGATTTCTTCTCAAATTCATACATTATTTAGAAATGTGTTGTTAATTTCCAAATATTTGAGGATTTCCCAGAGTGTTTCCCAAATCAGTTTCTGGTTTAATTATGTTGTGACCAGAGAACATACTTTGTGTGATTTCAGTCCTTTAAAACAATGTATTGAGATTTGTTTTATGGCCATGAATCTGATCCATCTTGGTGAATATACACTTAAAAATTGTACTGTGATTATTGGGTGAAGGGTTCAGTGTATATTAGTTAGGTCAAGTGGTCTGATAGCATTGGTCAGATCTTCTAAAACCTGATTTTCTGTCCACCTGTTCTATTGGTTGCTAAGAGAAATGTTGGAATCCCCCAATCTAGTGATGGATTTGTCTATTTCTCCTTTCTGGTTTATCATTTTTCTCATGTGCTTTGAAGTTCCCTAATAGGTGCCTACATATGTAGGATTGCTTTGTCTTTTTTATAACAAATTTAAATATTTTAAATATTCCCTTTTATTCCTGGCAATAGCCCCTGTTCAGGAGGCAACTTTGTCTGATATTAATATAGCTAAACTCCAGCTTGCTTTTGATTAGCATTTGCAAGGTGTCATGGATTGTGTCCCCTAAAAAGATAAGTTCAAGACTTAATCCCCAGTACCTGTGAATGTGACCTTCTTTGGAAATAGGGTCTTTGTAGGTATAATCCAGTTATAATAAGATCATACTGGATTGGAGTGGGCTCTAACCCAATGGCTGGTATCTTCATGAGAGGTGGAAGTTTGGACATAAATACATAGAGAGAGGACACCATGTGACATCAGGACAGCAGGGGTGACAGGTCTACAAGCCAGGAAATGTCAGGGATTCCTGGCATCTGCCAGAAGCTCAGCAAAAGGGATGAAGGGATTCTCCCTCAGAGCATCAACAAAAAACAAGCCTACTGATACTTTGATTTCTATCTGTCTTCCAGAAAGGTGGGAGAATAGATTTCTGTTGTTTTAAGCCACCCAGTTTGTGGCACTTTGTTACAGCAGCTGGGAAACTAATATACATGGTGCAACTTTGTTATCCTTTTTTTTTTAAAGTAGATTTTGTAGGCAGTTTATAGTAGGATCTTAATCCAGTCTGATAATCCTTGCCTTTTAATGGGAGTGTTTACATCATTTACATTCAGTGTGATTACAGCTCTGGTTGGGTTAAGTCTGTTGTTTTACTATTTGTTTTTTATTTGTCCCAACTGTTCTTTGTTCCTTGTTTCTTCTTTTCCTTGCATTTTTAATTAATTGACAAATTTTAATTACATTTTTCTGAACTATTAGCTTATTCATTATACCACTTAATTATTTTTATACTCATTATTTAGAGTTTACAGTGTTTTCTCTTCACAGACTCCCTTTAAATAATATTCTACCCATTCACCTATGCCCATCTGCTCCCTCCTATCCTTTATACTATGTTGCTATACATTGTAATTTTATATTCTATGTTGCAGACTCCAAAATGTATTGTTGTTTTTTGCTTTAAACAATAAATCTTCCTTTAAAAGACATTAAATGACGTGAAAATGCCTTTTCTATGTACTCACCCATTTGCCATTTCTGGCGTTCTCCATTCCTTTGTGTGTATTCAAATTTGCATCTGTCCCGTGTTCCTTTTAGCCCAACAGACTTCCTCTGACATTTCTGGAGTGTGGTTCCACAATGGTGAACACAGCCCGCCTCCTAGCTAGACAAACATAGACCTCATGCTAAAGGCCTACCACTTTCTGTTACCTGAAACGTCATGGCTGTCAGCAAAAGATTACATTCTAAAAGGCAAGAAAAAACACAATCTGAAGAGACAACAGGAGTGAAAACCAGACTCAGATATGACAGAAATTTTTTTCATTATCAGACCAGAAACTTAAAGCAATTGAGTAATATGCTAAGACTCTAATGAAAAAAACAGACAACATGTAG